AAAACGCTGCAGTCTGGTGTCGCTTCAATCGCCCCGAAAACTTCACCCCTAAAGCATTGGACTGGAAAGTTAACGACACCAAGACTGTCATCTTCTCTCGAAATAAAGGATGGATTGATCCTGACGCAGCAGATGCTCAATTCAAACTCAGGACTTCTGTGAACCTGGAGGACCTGGCCAGAGGAATCCTGCTGGTGAACATCTTCAATGTGACTCCGTCTGACAGCGGAAACTACGAAGGTGTCGTCATTGGAAAGCTTGCAGGCCACGACGACCCTTTGGAGTTGAAGTGTTCTGTCGAACTCATCGTTGGTAAGCACACTGAGTTCAATACGGAAACTTAATGTTAGAAAAATATCACTGGTCCCCGACTTTAGCTTCAACCTCAGGATCCATGTATCTGTGATCCTCTCAAGAATGGAAGTAGTCATCACACACAGAGCATCAACTAGTTCCTGAACAGTGTCCTTCACATGCTGATATCCAAGAGAGGGAGTTACACAGTCACAAGATGGAGGAATAGAAAGCAGTATTCAATGTTTACTTCAGATTAGCTCCACGTCAGAAATGATCATGCTTGTCACATGTCTCTCTCCATAGAGGCTGAATCATCATGTTAATCACATAGCTATCATATGCCTCAAACAGTCCTGATGCTCTTCTAGGTAATCACACATCCTGTCATGTTCACAGATACAGTTGGGATACCTTTGTTAGCATGTTACTCTCAGATTGAAAGAGGACATTCAGGATTTTCCCAACATTTAACATGTCAGATTTGGACATATAAAATGACGTCAGAGTGCTTACTGTCCGGTTAGTGTTAAAGTTCTTCCCATTTAATTTTCCCCTAAGCAGTCTTTAAACACTGAGACTGTCCGTACCGTGTTCCGGTTATTTTTAACTTCCTTATTATTAGGGACGCACCGACGAATCAGCCCGATGTCAGCAATTATTAAGATATTGCTGAATTTTTATACTGTGACGAGTATAATTTAAAGGCACCTGTTAAAAATGGACTTTTCTCACTAATTAATTTTCTTTAACTACATGTATCTATGTTTTTAACGTTTCACATCTCGGGGCAGATGGACACACACACAGCTTTAAAGAACACATTTTGTTCTGGGGTTTTTCTCCGAGTTCTAAGAACATTTTTGTCTTTTTATTTTACTTTAACAGCACCCAGAGACGAGCAGACGAGGAACAAGAGAAACGACTCCAGCACATCACCTGGCCCTCCAGCTGAAGGAGATCCTGGTCAAGGTCTCTTTAATTATTGCATTCAAATTGCCTCTGATTCACTTCTTACTCAACATGAATGTCGGAGCCTCGCACTATAGATTTAGGGCGAGCAATATCTCTAAGATCTGATATCACAGTACATCTGATCATCTATCAAGAAGCAGTTATCACATGACACAACTTAAGGTAAAAACAAACCACTCCAACACTAAGTTTAAATATTTAAAATAGCAGCTTCACGTGGTTTCTGAGAACAAAAATAAAAAGAATTGACCGGTTTTTAAGAAATAGATACCAGTCTGTCTTCAGAAAGATATAAATCATGTTGGAGGTTTTCATTGATTTATTATCTTGCTGTGTTTTGTTTTAAAGTAAATGAATAATTTATTTCGTGTCATTATTTAAGGTAATCAGAGTAGTTGTTCATGCTTTTATTTTGAAGGCCGCTTTGGGCACTAGGTAATTTAGACCGGGTTATTTAGGAATTGATTGGAGACAGGCAGAGGTGGGATTACTAAACCAGAAAGGGCATAGTATCTTCTTTACCAGGGAAGGCAGCAGGGAGGAAGTAGGTAAAGGTTGTTGTTCATTGTGCTTTGGATCATTGGAATAAACTGCATATAAAAAAGATTATTAGCTGCGTACGATTTGCTATCTGGTGCCCCGGCATCAGTTCGATTTGACAAAAATTTTAGTATTTATTTGTCCTGAGTTTCAGCCTCTAAAGCAGATCAAAAGCATGACTTTTTCTGAGGGTTTTCCTCAAATCTCAACTGTGTGTGATATTCCTTCAGATGCTGCAGAGAAGAGGAACGATGGCCGGAAAATTGTCCTCCCCTGTGTCCTAATTCTTGCTGCTGTTGCTGTCACTATCATGCTGGTTGTCGCTTGGAAACGTAGAGTGATCCGTAAGTTCCTGCTCTAAAGAATTGTATTATCAGTTTGGTGAATCTTACTGAAACTCTGAACTTTAATGCACGTAGGGTAGGATTTCCTAAAGCCCATGTATTGACTCGTACTAAATAATCCCTCTCCATCGTCTCTAGCAGTGTGCTGACCTCTGACTGAAATGTTTTACATTTTTATTTCACTCTGTTTAGAGGATAGGGTTTCTAATGTTAGAATATTTGTTCTGATCAAGCCCTCCTAGTGAAGTGATCATTAACCATCACTGGAAATATCAGTGCCTTGCATGCAGAGGTGCTGCGCTGCCGAAAAACATTGAACCACAACTTCATCCAAATATCATTTCAAGATTCAAAGGCTTTCTCGTCACAAACTTAGATGTTTATATATATATATATATATATGCTTCTGGTGCTTTTTTAAACACGTAAACAAATGGCTAGCTGTCCATGGTTCCAATTGGATAGAGAGAGGGGGGGTGGGGGTGTTGCTCTATGCAATTCAATGGGACTCCCTGATAGTTGAACATCGACGCTAAAGGGCCCACCTCTGCGTTGATAGGGACGCCAAGGGATCCTGACATATAGAACGAGTTGGGAGTGAGAATGTGTCGGACACGGACGAGAATACTCATTTCCGGCAGCGAGAGCTGCGTCCCCAGCAACCACGTTACTATGAAAACGGCGACACGGGAAATACTGTTTTCACGCCGAGAGATGACGATAACTTCACATGGACACTGGCCAATCTAAAACCTCTTTAGTAACATACGTAGTACATATACATTTGCTTGACAAGAACTGAAAAAATCTTCGTATTCTCCACAAAAATGAGATAGAGGCTTGCTTGTCAACATCCGGGTATTTCTGCACTGGAGGGCCATGTTAACAATGCCGTGTCACAATATCAATCGATCCAGCAGAGCAATAGCCTATAGGCAAAACACAGAAGATCAACAAAATATATGACATAAAATGAACTTACCAAAGGTGAAGTAGATGGTCAACTTCATTTTCTTTCCGTTTTACTGATTTGAATCGCTATAAACTGCTCTCTCTCGTCTCCTCTCCACAACTACACTATTCGCAGCACACGTAATACAGCACTTTGCCCCACTGGTGATAATTTTTTTGCCTTACACATTGAATACAAAAAGACTCTGAGCATGCGCAGTGTAGTTTTTACAGCACCCATTCATTTTGACAGCAGAGAGAGGGGCTAGATCGGGGCTTGCCCCACATCGCTCAAAATGGCTCAATATGCACACTGTAGATACTAATGACAAGAACGCAGACTAAAACAGCAATGTAGAGACGAATCAGATGATTAAACATGATCTTAAAATATATTTAAAGGTATATATTTTTTTCATATTTCTTTAATTATTATTTGAATTACTTTCCGTTGACACTAGGTGGGGCTGCCCCTAACGACGAGTCACCACTGTATAGTTCACAGTTTCACTCTGCAATATTCACTATAAAGTTTTACAGTTATCAACATCACCTTACCTTAGTTTCTTATTGTAGGCACCTTATTGTTGTTGTTTGGTGATTGACGTTAGCTTTTTTAGCCGTTAGCTTTTTTTGCTAAGGGAAAACATCAATTTCCCTCCAACACATTATACGTGATTTTGATAAGGGGCGGGACATCTCTAAGTGGTTGACCAATCACAACAGAGCCGGCCAGCTTACCAATCAGAGCAGACTGGGTTCTGGTTTCAGGCAGAGGGTGAAAAGAGGTGCTGCAGAACAGACAGTGTGAGAAAAATAAAGAGCGTTTTGAACATTAAAGCATTTAAACATGTCAGAGTGGAGGAAGAGAATACAAACATGAACATTAGCAAAATAGGGCTCCTTTAAGTGGAATTGGCACCCTCACTTCAGAGATAACTTACTCTACCTTTAGCTAGTGCATCAGGCTGCAGAAAAATAAAAACCATTCAAAGAAAAAATCCTGTTAAATGAAACTGTTTTCAAGTGTGAAAAAGACATGCGTATTCCACATTTAATGACGACTTGTTTTCGAGGTTTATCTGTATTTTCATTGGTGCTCGCTGCGCTTTGGTTCATTACAAAGGCCCCTTTGACAGATTTGGCCTTTAACAACAAAGCGTTTCATACCACTCTGTTATCTTATCGTAAGACTATTGATCTCAGCACCCAGCTGGCTTCAAATCTCCCCTGACAAATCACTGCATTTCTTTCACCACCAAATAACAGAACAGCACTCTCTTTAATTTCACACTCCCCAATAACCCTCTTGTGTTCATTAAAAGGCAGAGCGGCTCCCCCAGGTAAAATGATAAATAATTCCATCACTTTGACGCCTCGCAGATTTGTGCTTGGGAAGCTTGTCGCTTTAATAATTGCTGTTGATCTTTGATGTTTTGCAGATACGAACTGTAACAGATTAATGACTGTCAAATGAAAAGATGATGCTTCAGTCGGGGCGTCGCTCTCGTGAGAATGGAACTGAAACATGTGTCGCCGCGTGCCAGAAGGCGCAGACACACACACACACACACACACACACACACACACACACACACACACACACACACACACACACACACACACACACACACACACACACACACACACACACACACACACACACACACACACACACACACACACACACACACACACACACACACATACACACAAACAAGTCCCTGATGAGAAATTGAGAGCTGTGCAGCATTTTCATCGATTCACTGGTTCCATAATGGTAACATTTCATTTAAATGGAAAATGTGATTGTCTCGTGCAATTGCGGTTCCTGTAGTGCTGACTTAGCAGAGGCGTGCACCCCCTCCTGCTGCCAGGTTATTTACGGGGAGTAAACGCATATCCTGTGATCATATTACTCAGTTTTAACTCGGCTGTGTCAGCTGAGGGTTTATTTGAAAATTTACTGTAAACTGAAACATTTTCTTTTGTGGCCTTTTGCAGAGATTTCTATCTTAAAGGTGACCCATTATGCTCTTTGGGGTACGCCAAACAAAACATCTTCTTCTTCTAATTTTGACTCTTTATTCCTTTCAATAATACTCCTTTCTCTAAGAAAGTGCTAACAGCATGAACAACAAATATTCTTTAAGAGTATGATTCTGAATATTATTCTTTGAAGAAAGGCCTTAAAAACATTCAGTCAACATGAATTGTCTTCCTGTAAAATAGCACATTTTATGAGGACAACAATAATTAATTCTCAAACTCCTTCTTTATTTAAGTCAGTGAACAATTTCTATCAGACAGTTGGCGTAAGAAATGATCACATAATATATATATAAGATATAACCTTGTGTAAAATAACACACGTGACTAAAATGTGATAAGATGGGGGAATGGCTAATATGGTTATAGCTAGCTCTGGTGTTAGCAAGGTCAGCATGTATATGTACTACTGCTGCAGAGAGAGATGCAGGAGCCCCAGTGTGGAGTCATTGACACCATCAAGGCTGACACTGGACTTCTTCTTTTACCCAGAGAGAATATCCACTCTTTCTAAAAAGTGAAAAGCAGAGACCTTTACAAGTTGGACCGATGAGACAGCAAAGAATGCAACGATGCTCATTAAACACTGAATAGACAAACACAGAAATAATTCTGGACCCTTTTTTTATTTGCATACAGAAGCAAATGTTCTCTTACACTTTATCTCTCTTGCTCTTTCCCTTGGTTTTATTAATATATGTAAATAGGAGAATTCCACACAATAGCCTTGTGTTTTAGCCAAGAAACTATAAGGATTGTAAAGCGGGCCTATGTAAATTCTGTGAGAAGAAGTTACACATTCTTCCTCTTACAAATGACAATTGAATTTGAATAAAATATTAAGGGCTTTTACTTTTATCCCCAAAACTGAGAGCATTGGCTGCTGTTATCCGTGGTAATCTATGTACAATGATGCAGCTGAAATTGAATTTAGACGACAAAATGAGATCCGACTCAGGGCTTTCCTGATTGATGATTCAAATCATCGAGGGAGCATCCTTACTTTGGAAACCCATAACAATTATGGATTTAAATTAAATGCTAAACTGTTATTTAGCATAAAACATTATACCATGACTGAATTGGAGCTGCAGTGAGCATTAATGCAAGGTCCCAGAGCTGAGCAACACGTGAGTGAATGTGTTGACCCAGAAGAATATTCGTTGCCTTCCATAAGGTAGCAGTTGAGTCCAGTTTTAGTTGACTTAAAGTCTGGGCATTTATATCTTATCTGAGTCAAATACAACTTCACAGTAACATTTTAGGTGGATATTTTGTCTTTCTTAAGATATCAGAATATATTGAATATTTCAGTAAAGGCAAAATATATGTCTCCAGAGCCTGGTTGTTCTTATTATTACCTTTAACTTCAGTAAGTTACTCGCAGTCACCCTAAGTCATTTTGTTCTGACAGTGTATTATAACAAATGATGTATTCCTTCACCAACAAAAAACTGTTAATATTTCTTCCTTTTTTTTTTTGGTTCAAGTAAAAACAAAACATATATTTTCTTTTTATTCAATTGTAGTCTTCATTAATATTAAGTTAGGGTTAGGGTTCATTTACGCTGGTGCCGTCTCGTTATCGTCTCGTCATGACCTCGAAATGGAAAGATAAATACAAATATCAACATTTGTAATCATAGTTTTCGTTAAGGAAATTAACACAGCAATAATCTTTATACACTAAAACTTGTTATGAAAACGTTTCATTAAATGGATTTAAACAAGTCACCCATTTTTTGAAAGGATTAGAACTAAATTGTTGTAGATACTGAAAAGTTTGTTTGCTCACACTTGAAACAACATAATGTTAGGAACTCTGTCTTAAAGAGGACATATTGTGCTAATAATTCATAGCTCAGGTTCATAATTGTGTTTTTATGGCTGCTAATTATGGTATGAGAAACTGCCAAGGCACACA